GGTCCCCACCCCGCGCGGGCCTCCCGCCGCGCGCAACGTACAACGCAGCACTCACCCGCCGCCGGAGCCCCGGGGCGACCGCCGCCTCCGCCGCCTTCCGCCTTCTTCTTACCTCCCGCCTGCTGCTGGCCCTGCCTCGCCCCGGGCGGCGCCACCGTCACCGCGAACAGCGAGGTGGGGCCGCTGCTCTTCCCCGCGGCCTCCTTGGCGGCCCCGCGCTGCTGTGGGGGCTGTTGCTGCGGCGTCGCCGGCGGTTGAGGCTGCTGCTCCCCGTGCCCGTTCTCGTCGCCCGCGCCTTCCTCCTCGTCACCGAGCTCATCCTCCCCTTCCTGGAAGCCCTGATCGTCGCCGTTCTCGTCTTCCGAGGCGGCCTCCTCCTCCTCCATCGGGCCCGCGTCGGCCGCCCCCGCGGCCCCGTTCTCCTCCCCTAGCTCCATCTGGTCGCCATCCAGGGCGGCGATCCCTTCCTCCTCCTCTTCCTCCTCTTCCTCTTCCTCGTCGCCGCCGGCCGCGGCCTCCTGCTCGAGGCCTGCTCCCGAGCGCCCGGCGGAATCCCCGCCCAGGTCTAGGCTGCCGTTCCCGGGCTCCATGGCGGGGCGGCCCCCGGCCTCCTCGTCGTCCAGTGCGGCCTGGAGTCGCTCCATGAGCTCGGCCTTGAGGCCCTTGTCGGAAAGGCGCCGCTTCTTGAGCTCCTCTTTCAGCTCCGAGACCTTCAGCTTTTTTACATTAACAGGCGAGGAACTCATGGTGAGGGCCCCGATTCACCGCTAGGCGCTGGCTCAAACTCGGCTCCGCTCACTCGGCCACTGGTGGCGGCTGCTGCGGCTGCTCCTCGGCCCGGGCGGCGGCTGCGGCTGCGGCTGGAGGTGGGTTCGTGCTGCAGAGCGGACCCGCCTGGTGTCGAACGGCGCCAATTCCTTTCACCGAGTTCGCGAGGGAGACGCGGAGACTCGCCTGGCGCGAGCGAGCACGCAACGTCCTCTCGCAGGGGCGGCGCCGCGCACGTAATATAGCCGCCCCGCCCCCTGCCCTGACGGGAGCGCTGCGCAGGAGGAAAGCCGGAGCGCGCCCGCGCCCCGCCCCGCCCATTACCGTACTTCCCTCCCCGCCCCCACGCCGAACCCGCCGAGAGCGCGGCATAGGCCGCGCAGTGCGCTTCCAATTGGGACCGAGCAAATGGAGGAGAAGGAAACCGCCTTTCAGTTAAACCGATCCACTGCAGCCTCTGTTGGTTTTCCTAGTTCTCTGGTGGCAGCACTCGGCTTGCTCGTTGCCTCTCCAGCCCGGAGGCCGGATTCACCCAGAGGCGTGCAGGCCTCGACTTGGCATGATCCACTTGAGCCCTCCACCTTTTCTTCCATCTTAGATTTGCCTTCTTATCTCTCTCTCCAGCTATTTGTTTAAAACTCCTTGAAATCTTATTTCCGTGTTGATTTGTGCGGCACAAATTGGCAGTTACTGTACGCGGGGGGGTTTCTTCCGCTTCAAATATGGTTTAATTTTCCTAAGTCCTGCCTTGCGCACTGGGTTTTAAGTTCGGGAAGGGCGAGGGCAGAGCATCTCTTTTGTCTCTTCCCCGACCCCTGATGCAGGGCTGGCTTCGGGAGCGTGATCCTCTCTACTCCATGCTGCAAAGGCGTGCTGGGCAAGCCTCCTCAGGGCCTCTGCTCTCATGCTGCTGAGAGCCAAAGAAGTTAAATTAAGCTTCAGAATGGCATTTCTGAGTTTACTACCCAGAGAGACAGACCTCTGCAAGATTAATGCCGTCCAACTTAGGACCTGGCCATCCAGTCATGACGTCCCAGTAGCTAACAATGAGACCCAGCCAGATCATACACTCTGCTTCTGCTCCTAATCCCGTAGAAATACTCCTGAATAAATCATGCTGAAACTAATAAAAGCTCATGACAAAGGGCTGGGATTTTGTTTTTAAAAAAAAGATGATCACTCTTGAAAAGAAATCTGTTATTTTGGCATATTTTAATAGAAGTTTAATTTTTCTCTTTACTAAATAAAAGGCGTGTTCTTGAGGTTTTGCACAGGGGTGCCAGAATTTAGATTTGTGATAGAGGGGAACATCTTAAACCCCAGAAAATCTGCACAGTGACTAGCCAGTGTTCTGGTATCTCTAACTAAGGAGGTCAGTTTTACCCACTGCTTGGTGCGTTATAGCTGGCCCAGTAACGCTGCCCCAATGTTAATTTGAAATTGGAACAATATGAACACTGTCCCATAGGCTAGCATGATTTAACCAATTAATAAATTTCATTTTTTAAAGTTTCTCCTCCATAGCATTTTAAGAAGCATATGTTTTACCATGCAGTCATTATAAAGATGAAATATTAACATTTGTGAAATGATTAGAGTTTAAATTAATGGACTCTGTACAGTACTGGTAATTCTCAGTTAAAGTTAGTGGAGGTAGAAGGCACCCAAAATAGGAACTTCCAAGTAGTGCTAAAAACTCATTTAGCCTTTGGTTATCATGTCCTTGGAGCTTATAAACTACTCACAAACTGGAGTTTCGAATTCTTTGGGAAGAATGGGAAGAGAGCTACAGGGGGCTTACATGTTCGCAAACTGGATAATCAGTCCCTTCATGAACCAAATTTAAATGTAGTTAGTATAATGGCCCTTTAAGGTTTGTAAGTGTCCTTAGATAGTTTCACATTTTTTAAATCTTAGTGATATTAAAAACATTTCCATTTAATTGGAAATAAACTGAAAGTTTATGTCTATCAATTTATGATAATTGTTCTTGGTATGTTAAGTCAGTTGTAACAAGCATGAAATGTAAGAGTAGATGGACATGAAAAGTTCCGTGGCTTTATCTCCAAGAGCTTCATAGACTTTTAGAGCTGGATAGAGCTGAGAGATCGTCTTCAGTCCGCCCATTTTACAGCCTAGGAGGCTGAGGGCCCCCTTCCCACCCCAGCACTCCTTCATTACACTGGGCCTTCTTAGACAACATTTGAAAGAAAAACAGCTTTTGCAAATGGTCAGAGCCCTCACGTTACTGTTTGTCCTTTTTACAAACAGGTGAAATCTGCAATTCAATATTTTACTACTTGCAAGTACAAATAGCCACTTACTTATTGTTTTACACTTCTAATGTCATGACTGTCCTGTTCTGCCGAGACCAATAAAAGTACAAATCACTTCCCCTAAATCACTGAGGGACTTAGAAGAATCTTGACATTCCCCCTTTTTGAAATCCTAGAGACTACTAAGAATACAGAGAGGAAGAGGGACAAATGAAGTCTCAATCGCAAGAAGTGATTAGTCGATGACGTACGGGTCATAGATCGATGGCAAAGTTAGGATGCTCAGAATATACAGCTTACATTTTTAGGTTGATGCAAAGGCACATACCTATACACTGTAGTTTGTCACACAGTTCCCTCAGCAAATATTTTTGAGCACCTTCTCTAAAGCAGGCAGTGGTCTTCTAGAAACACAGCGGTGAACTGGGTAACTATGCCTTCACTCTCCCAGGGAGAGTTGGGCAGTAAATAAAATCGAGGTGGTAACAAGTCCTACAGGGAGATGCAAATCAGGAGAACAGCACGTAATGCTGATGTGGGGGTGAGTTTTTCAGCTGTAAATGGGGGGGGGTGTCAGGAAAGCCTAAGAAATAAGGTAACAGCAAGTATCTAGAAGAGGTGGAGGAAAAGAACAGCAAATATAGAAAACTGAGGGAAAGGCTAGGAAGTGAGATAAGGGAGCCGAGAGAGTCAATGCCCAATTTATCCATTCATCTACTTCACAAATATTTATTGAACACCTGCTAGGTACCAGTACTCTATACCATGTGCAGGGAAGACAGACCTGACTGACACAGGCCCAGGCCTCTGGAAGCTTGCCGTTTGGAGATAACCCGGACGCCAGCTCACTAGGGTGCACTCACGAGTACAGCTACATGGGGAGCAGCCATCCTGACCGTCCGCTGAGCCGCTGTCCGCAGGGTTCCCATGACCTAGGTCTGTATACACACTTGCCCACCCACCAACATTCACACATGCGAAAACAAAACCAAACCAAGCCTCACATATACACTTAAGAAGCCAGTTGTATGACATTTGCCAGTAAACAGTAATTAGCTAAGATTATCTTATATCATATTCATTATCCTATATACAGAGCTGCCTATCATTTGCAGGCTTCTGCCGGCTGATATTTAAGTCTTCCACTGAACGTTGTCAGGCGTTTAGAGGGGGAAAAAACCAAACTTAAAGTGCCTCCAGCACTGTCCTAATTGCCTGGACGCTGTGTATATATACTCTTTCCTTCCTTCCCCTGCTTTGGCGTTGTTCCACCCAGGCACACTTTAGATGGGTTGTTTCTTAAGTCTGCTGTGTTTCGGGACACCTGGGTGGGTCAGTCCATTAAGCATCTGCCTTCGGCTCAGGTCATGATCCTGAGGTTCTGGGATCATGATCCCGGGGTTCTGGGATAGAGCCCCATGTCAGGCTCCCTGCTCAGCAGGGAGTCTGCTTCTCCCTCTACCCTTCCCCCTGCTTGTGCTCCTGCTCGCTCACTCTCTCAAAAATAAATAAATAAAATCTTTAAAAAAATAATTAAAAAAAAAAGTCTGCTGTGTTTGTCCAGATTCATTTATTTGGGAGAGGACCTGCCAGTGATGGAGCGGGTACCTGCTAGGCACCGGCCACTGCGCTAGGCATTTTATACCCAGTATTTCTAATCCCCACAGCAATCTCACAAGGTAGGGATTATTAGTTTCAATTTATAGATATGGAAACTGAACATCGGAGAGGTTAAGGAACTTGGCCAACTGGATAAGAAGCAAGGCTGAGATATCAAATCAGGGCTGCCTGACTCCCCGGTCCAAGCATCTTCTCCTGCACCAACTGGATGCATTAGAGTTTCAAAGTCAAAGCTGACATGCTGTGTGGCAGCGAGATTCGACAGTATATAGTGCAGGAGAAAGAGACAAAGCAATGATTACATTACAGGGGTAATTTGTGCCATGATAGCAGTGTGTATTCAGTTCAGGGTATGGAGCAAAGGCCCCTATTTAAAGGCACACCACCTATGGCCTGTGGGAATGGGACCCAGGGTTGCCAGGCTTTCCCATTTCATAAGGGAAGTGGGAAACCTTCACTTTTATGTGACATCTCCTGAATTTTAGACGTGGCCAACACTACGCCGGCCAAAAACCAGACACAAAAATGTGTCTTTGGCCAACTGTTGGTAAGCCCGGGGCTAGAGGGTCATGGAGAGGTCATGGGCAGGAAGACCAGTTAGGAGGCCATTTGGAGGCATGAAGGCCACTGGACCCAGGTCAGATGCATCCCTTTCGAGACACCCCAGCGGATGTTCCTTTGGACTCTGACATCAGCACCCATGGCAAATATGACCATTTGGGTTAATTTTCTAAACAACCCTGCCATTAGAATGGAGAGGAAATATTTGGAGGAGTGGGCACAGTCTTTACTAGGGGAAAACCGCTGTGCAGGACCTAGCTATTTGGGCATTTTGGACACCTGTACATGAAGGCACTCAGCCCTCAGCCAGCTCCTTCCCTCCCCGTCAGCAAAGTGGCCGCATACAGACTACAAGACATGTGAATCAAGTCATAGAATCAAAGTGGTCCTTAGCAACGTGGAAGGCCTGGGGACTTGCTCCCATTTCCCTCCCCACTTCTATCCCATTGGGCCAGGGGGAACCTGAGTGCCAAGGAGTGTTCTGAAGTGGACAGGGGCACAAAGGGGGATCTATAACCAAGCGGAGGTGATGTATGGAAGGAAGGATGGCAGCCCTGACTGGTGGGCCTCAGTTGTCAAGAGTGAGCCCTGTTAATTCAGTAAAGTGGCAGGATATAAAATCAATCCACAGAAATCAGCGGCGTTTCTATGCACCAACAACAAGACAGAAGAAAGAGAAATTAAAGAGTCGATCCCATTTACAATTGCACCCAACCATAAGACACCTAGGAATAAATCTAACCAAAGAGG